GTTGTCGGTTTCCCTTGTCTTTCCCCCAACTCTTGCCACTTTACCCGACTTGCCAAAATTCTAAGTAAAAAGGTTGGGTTCTTCACATTGTGTCCAGGCCAGGCCAGTACTACCTAATCTCAGAGCTCACATGGTATTCTACCTGCATTCTAGCTGTAATGTCTTTCCTTGTCTCGATCTCATAGGAAAAAAAAACAAAACCCTTCACATTTACCCATAGGGTTGGGAGGAAGAAAGCAAGGAAGGCTCTGTGGAAGAGGGTGCAATTGAACTAGGCCTGGGTAAATTTGGTCAGCAAGATTTCCAAAATCAGAAATGATGTAGAAGCTATGGTATATGCAAAGACCTGAATAATACAGGTGAAAATTGAAGAACGGGTCTAATAGATACACAAGTGCTAACACTATGCGCAAAGATGAAGTTTTTGGTGGGACCTTGAGATATGGGCAAAGTTTCCACTCAGACCTGGAGAGAGTGAACAGTCTCTTTGTCAATCATTGCATGCCCTCCAATGACTATGTGAGAAGGCGGGGCCATAGAAGGCAGTCAAAGAAGCACTACCAAGCTACTGAGCTCATCAAAATCTGGATTGGATAGTAGGGCTTCTGGCTTCCACTGGCCATTTACTCAGTGCTGAGGGAACACGGTGGCTCCCTGTCCTGCAATCTCAAAGTTTAAGTTTCATTTACTTGATTTCGAAATTAGCTATCTGTAATGTGATTTTGAGAGACTTGGGGTAGATGGTGTATCCTGAATATAATTTAACAGACATGTCCCATGTACTCCTGGATTGATGACTGGGAACATCCCTTAGCCACCTGCCTAGCGTTGTGCTTGGTGTAACAACATGATGGGCCTTTCAGACCATTTCAGTTATTTAAATGTGGGTCTTGAACACCACTGTTCATGGTCTTAAATGTTTTGTGGTGTTTGCTGCTTAAAATGAGGAAATGGCTAGTGTTCTTGGCACAGTCGTTGTGGGTCCAGGACAGCTTAGTGGGAGTTGGCGGCCAGCAAGCTGATTTTACCTTTTGTTGTACAATGTTGTTGGGTAGATATTGTTGCTGGATATGTGTTTAAATCTTTGTCTTGGCAATTTCCTTGAGATTTCTTATCAGGGACAGGATTTCTCTCATTTTTGACCTGAAAAGAGAAAGTATGAGCTTGAAGAGTGAAAGTGCACTTCTCACAACCATTGGCCATAGCTGCCTTTACGTTCAGTTTTGTTGTTGTTGTTGATATTATTAATGTTTCATTTAACAACATGACTGTATGTTTAATACCATTTGTTGAGTTAAATTTTGGAATCAGCCTTTTTCATATGCTGCCTTAGCAAGGAAAAAAGAATCCTGATACTTCCAACGTCAAAATGACTACACAGGCCCAGCTTGCTGAGGTTTCCTTCACTGACCACTGGAGTCACCCTCAGTTACTATTGACCACGGTTTTGCATTTGTGTGTAATGTGCTTGTGTATTTAATATCATTGTATCCAACAAAGAGTGCTCCAGTCACATTTCTTGCATTTTCCACAAAAACATGTTTTGTTATTTGCATATTTCCAATAAGAAAATTGGTTGACAAGTGCTTTCACTTTAAATCCCAGAAGGGAATCATGCCGCCAAGGGATCCTGTTTCTTGTTTTATTTTTATAATATAATGGTGTGATGCTCCCCCCCCACACACATTACATTGCAGTCATCTAAATCTGTTTAATTTTTATTGTGGCCGTATTTCATAAATATTCTTTTTAAAAAGATTTTATTAATTTATCTTTAGAGGGGAAGGGAAGGAGAGAGGGAGAGAAATATCAGTGTGTTGTTGCCTCTCGTGTATCCCCCACTGGGAACTGGCTTGCAACCCAGGCATGTGCCCTGACTGGGAATTAAACTGAGGTCCCTTAGTTCACAGGTCTGTGTTCAATCTACTAAGCTACACCAGCCAGAGCTCATAAATATTCTTAATGTGAAAATATTCTCAGTGTACACTTTCGGAAATGAGTTGTCCGGCCAGGCACTTGAAAGTTTGACGAACTCTGAATGCCCCTGAACTGCTCTTGTAGGCCATGACTGGACCTTGTTTGGGATTTAATTCATATGTTCATCCTCATGGATTCAATTAAATTTTGGTCCTGGAGCTACTCATACATTTCCTTTAAATGGTTTGGTGTAAATCTTTTTATTTACAGAGGAGCAATTTACATTAGATTGAGTGCCTTAAAGTTTTTAAAATAATTGAGTGTTTGACATAATTTATTTTGTTAAATTCCTTCTTATTCCTTATTCATAAATTTTCTTAAAAATAATTTCTCATGGTACTCTGAATTTACAATGCAGAACTGTCACTTGGCTGAGTCCTTGGCACTTAATGACAGGGATTGCTGTTAACCATATGTTGTTGTCACTGATAACACAGTCTGAGATTTTGTTTTACAGGAAAACAATGTGTTTGATATCATTTAATTCTATTAAATGCAGGTCCTGGCCCTTTTCGTAAGCTTTGTATTAAAAATTCTCATGTTAGCTTCAATTTAAAAATGAGTATGGGAAATATAGAATCTAAAGAACTTGAGACACATGGTCATAAGCTAAAGGGGAGAAATGGTGGGGGAGGGGGTGTGCAGGGTGGAGGGGAATGAAGGGGGGAAATAGAACAACTGTAATGGCATAATTAATAAAATATATTTTAAAAAACAAAAAATAAAAATAAAAATGAGGAAATGATTGTTCTAAATGTCCTTTTTTCTTCTTGCTTTGACAGTTACTGGCATGGAGTGCCCTGGTAACCTAACCTTTTATTTTACTTTACTGTTAAAATTTTTTATTTGTCAAAAAATTCATTTTCGTATCTTCTTATTTCATAAATCTACTAAAAATAAAGAGCATTTTGTTTTTATTGTAAAAAATACACATACTGACCACCTGGATGAACGTTTGTTATTTTACATCAGTGAATTCCCACAAGTACCAGTCACTGACCACCAACGGACATCGTTTGGGTTCTTTTGGAATTTCATGTTTGCCAATAATTGTATGTTGAATATCATGATATTTAATTCAGTTGTGCCCTTATTCTTTTCATGAAGTTCCTTTGCAAATCCTGGACCATTTAAAATTTACATGTAAGGAAATTTACCCTGAGAATGAGTGCTCTCGGTTCTCTAACAGTGAATGGCTCAACCTGCATACTTTCGAATATTTTTATTAAAGATTTTATTTATTTATTTTTAGGGAGAGGGGAAGGGAGGGAGAAGAAGAGGGAAAGAAAGACCGATGTGTGAGAGAAATATCAATCAATCAATCTATTGATAGGGTTGCCTCCGGAGGTCCCCAACCCAGGACTTGGCCTGCAACTCAGGCATGTGCCCTGACTGGGAGTTGAACCTGCAAACTTTCTGTCTGCTGGATGATGCCCAACCTACTGAGCAACACCAGTCAGGGCATGAATATTATTTTATAACCATGATTGTGCATTTAATAGTTTATCATTTCTTTTCGTGTGGGCCTAGGTTCTCCTACCTACGTGTTCTCCCATAGAAAAAATTATTTGTGTAATTTTTAATTACAAAAAAGGAGGGCATGCTCATTTATGTCCTGGCCAGTCTGGCCCAGGACTCCTGTCCTCCTTGTTTGAGGTCCTGGCCCATACTGGGCATGCTACCCCCTGCTTATTTCAGAGGGTTCTTTCCAGTCCTCTTTGGCCACAAGTACTGACTGGGCATTAATGCCTCAAGTGCCAGCACACTGGCTTAAGAAACAGGCAATGCTTGCCTATTTATACTCATGCCTCCATTACATTACACCTAATGTGTATTCAGGGGGGAAATTAAAGTAAAGGAAAACTGTTGTTATACTCAAAACCCTGTGGTCCCTAGTCACTGAGCGTAACATAATCCTTGTTAAACAAAATAGTCACTTCCTTTGATAATGGTGATGATTTCCTTTTTGCTGGTTCTTTTTAAAAATATATTTATTGCTTATGCTATTATAGTTGTCCCATTTTCCCCCCTTATTCCCCTCTGCCCTGCACACCCCCTCCCACCTGCCTCTCCCCTCCCTTTTGTTCATGTCCATGGGTCATAAGTATAAGTTCTTTGGCTTCTCCATTTCCTATACTATTCTTAACCTCCCCCTGTCTATTTTGTACATACCATTTATGCTTCTTATTCCCTGTACCTTACACCCATTCTCCCTCTTCCCCCACCCTGCCGATAACCCTCCATGTGATCTCCATTTCTGTGATTCTGTTCCTGTTCTAGTTGTTTGCTTAGTTTGTTTTTGTTTCAGGTTTGATTGTTAATAACTGTGGGTTTGCTGTTATTTTACTGTTCATATTTTTTATCTTCTTTTTCTCAGGTAAGCCCCTTTAACATTTCGTATAATAAGGGCTGGGTGATGATGAACTCCTTTAACTTGACCTTATCTGGGAAGCACTTTATCTTGACTTAAATTATGTATATTAACTCATGCAGAAATTATTTAATGACTTATATTTGTGAAACATTGATGATGTCTAAATCCACCTCGATTACATTTAGACATGTGAAAAATTCATTGCAGGTATTTGGATTATGCTTTATCTGTATCGGCAGGAATGCAGATTTCAGGAAGTAGGACACTAGCCTCACTAATCCTGACTTTTCAGGTGGAGCCCTAGACCTTGAACAATATCTAAGTGTAGAATGGAGGTACTTTCATTACATAGCCATTATCCATAGTATCCTGGGGCATACTTGCAAATTAAAAGCAAAAATTCATATATATATATATATATATATATATATCCAATTTTCATTTTTATGTGTCCTGTGTATATGCATATGTCATTTATATGATATATATATGTGAAATATATATTTATATAATGTCATTTTATATATGTGTGTATATTCCAATTTTCTTCTGTTGTTTTCTCCACAAAAACTATGTTCATTGTCAGATGGTAATAACATTACATAATGTATGAAATTCTTTATGAAATTGCAAGTTAAATTAGCTCATTTCTAGTTTTAGCAACTTTTGAATTTACTATGTTACCAATTACTGAGACTAATATAACAGTGCAGTTGTATAATGTACATTTCAGTCTGTTAAGCGAAACACAAAACCAACTCATTTGAATGATTTGTTGCCCATAATCTTGCATGGTATATGTCAGTAATTGGTAACAAATGGAGGACATATGATCCATTCCAAAGGGTTGTTACTCATAATTTTGTATGTGTCTATTGCCTTATTGCTGAAGAGAAAACAATGGGGTTCTGAAACTGCCCTTCTAGCAAATGATTGGCAGTACCTCTCAACATAATATTTAATAATTTCCCTATGATATTTCATGAAAGCAAGATAAAACATGGTTCATTTTGAAGGCACAATCAAGCCTCTAAAGCTGCAGTCTTGTCTTGTGACTTGATTCATACAGTTCCTGTCTTACATTATCTTTCACTCTTTGGCCTACCATACACATGCTGCATCATTGGGTACTCTGGCCCTACCAGCCGTTTTCAGAAATTTCTCTGGATAAGGGAAAGAGGAAGTTTGCCCCAGCTGCCTGTATTAAGAGTTTCCAAGTTGCCTAATTTTCCTGCAGTTATGCTAGGCTGTCCACCCACAGGCAAGTCATATTTGTACAGTCACCATGTCCTTCAGGATCTGTGATGGAGAAGTCCAGTAATGGTCAGCCCATGGGCTTGAACTGAGAGGAGAGTGTCACTGGAACCAATAGTCAAGACCAGCCAGACAAGTAAGAGAAACCTTATGTTGTGTGAAGCCACAAATGTTGGGTGGAGGGTAGTACCTGTCCCCAAGTAGCTGTACCATTATTTAAGATATTGTTGAAATACCTTCCCTGAGTGTTTAAGACAGGAACTTCCAACAATATCAGGGTCACTCGCTGGACACTGCTTATTAACTGTAAAAACCTTATATCTATAATCAATTTTATTCTAACTGGTCAGTAGCATCTTTTTCCAGTCCTTATTTGTATTCCTCCATTCACCGTGAGTGCCACAGTTACAGACACATAGACTTTACTAGAATGTCAGATTTGAAAACAAAACGAAAACTTATCTTGACATTTTCACATCAAAGTTTTTATTCACCTCCTTATTCTTTTCAGAAAACTGTTGTAATACCAGGCAGGATGGATTGGATGGGACTGTCAAAAACAAACTTCAGGAATCCAGACACTGGGAGTGCTGCTCATGAGATTTTTATTCAGGTACAAGAACATGGATTTGGATGTGATTTAAAGCCAACTCTATCTAGGAAAGGGGGAAGGATGAGACCTATATGCCAAGTAGGTGCCAGAGAATGACAGTCTACCAGTCTACCCTCACTATGGGCAGACATTTATTTAGCAGTGGTCCTGGAGGCATAAGCTAACAACTTAAGTAATATGTAGGTTAATACTTCTTTACATGTCTAATTTTCCATACGCTGTTGGCCATTTTCTGTTGCCCTACTGCTGTTGCTGATTTGCCTTGCAGATGTTACTAAGACCTCACATTGTGTTCATTCCCAATATTTTCATCATTGAATGTCAGTCTCTACACTTGCAAAATGGTAATCACACCTTGCTGTCAGTGATGTTGTGAGAATCATGTGTGACAATCTTTGTAAAGTGTGCAACACACTGGAGGTACTGAAGGAATTCATATATCTTCTAGAATCCATATATTGAAGCAGAATATTATGGCTTGACTTAGTTTCTTTCCCCATCTGGTCAGAATCCACTCCTGCTTAATTTCTTTAGATTTTTGCCATAATTTCAACTAAATATTTGTTTTCTTCCACAGGACCTGCAAATTTTCTCAAAGATGACTGAGCATCTCTTTGGAAATGAACCTTTTAATTCTGCAATGATCCAGGAGGTAGCTTGGCAACCCAGACTTCCCCTTGCTCAGAGTTCCGTTCTTTTCTGGCCAACTTGGACACCTTACATTGAAGCCTATGTGGCTCAGCACCAAGTTCGGCTTGGAGGGTGCTTGTTTGCTTGCTGTACCAAAAAGGTCTCCTCTCTTTCCTTGCCTTTGTAAAGTCACTTCATTTATGGGCACTGATTAATCTGTTAAAAATGGGGTGAAGGCTTTTGACAGTGTGGGTAGAGGAGAGTAGTAAAAATAAGTTAAGAACTGGTCTAAGGTACATTCGAAGACACTTGGAACCTTTACTTTTCATAGATACCTCTTGTTCCCTCTACTGCTTTATTAGCATGGGTTTTATCCAGAAGTTGACAAAACAGAATCTGAAGTTCACTTATCAAAGGTAAAAAAAATTCACATTTCTTTGTGATTAGATTAGAAACTGAAGTGTGTAGGTTTTATACAGCACATTGACATTTTTAAAGATTTTATTTATTTTTAGACAGAGAGGGAAGGAGGGAGAGCAACATTAATGTGTTTCAGAAACATGATCAGCTCTCACACACCCCCAACTGGGGACCTGGCCTGCAACCCAGGAATGTGCCCTGACTTGAAATCAAACCAGGGATCTTTTGATTCACAGGCGGGCACTCAGTCCACTGAGTCACACCAGTCAGGGCAGCACATTGATATTTTAAACACTATTATTTATCCCTGTAATTGGTTAAATTACTTTAAAGACATGAAGGATGGGGATAATCATGGTTTCCCACCCAGTGGGGAAAAAAGACAAGAAGGCCTGAGATACCTAGAAAAACCTGTACCTAAACCCATGTTTTTTCACCAAGTGGCATGACAGTGACCAAGACTGGCCTATTTCTTACTTAAAAAGAGTTATGAAACTTAATAACTGTGGTGCCTTCTCTTTCTTCCACATACACTTGTCCCCTCCTCCCATCAAATTTGTCTTGTATACCTTTTTCGGGGGGTAAGGTAGGGAAGAATTAAGTGAATATTTTCATGGGTAAATCTACTGAGTGTTGGCACTTAAAAATACCATATTTTGCCATGTGTCTTGCACACCCCTGGTTTTGTGTACATTATACACAGGATTATTATGCCTGTGGTGTGTGATCATCATACCCATTTTTAATGCACATCTTTATTTTTCCATCAAAAACTTGGGCAAAAAAGTGCGCATTATACATGGCAAAATATGGTAAGTCACAAAGTTGAAGATTCCAAAAGGGTGACTCTTTCATTGGTGGCATTCTGAAAACCAAGAATCTCAGGGGCAAGGAATGTGACTTTTCTCAGATTTTTGGGTGGGATCATCTGGCTCTGTGGTTCTTTCTCACTAAATCATTCCTAGACCTGACATGTCACTCAGCCTCATGAGGCATGTACTCAATGTCTACTCACAAGTGTGAAATGTTAATGTGCTAAAATTATTGGCATGAAGCATTCCACATCAAACTCATGTTTGTTTTAATTGCTTTCTCATTCTTTTTTATTTATGTGGGTGATAGAAAAAGAATGGATAATACTAGACACTTTAGGGTAAGTCCTTTGAAATAAAGTGTATTTATTTTTATATTGGGTCCTTGTTATATATATATATATATATATATATATATATATATATATATACACACACACACACACACACACAATAGGGACCCAGTATAAATATAAATTTGTATATATATATATATATATATATATATATATATATATAAATTATCTTTATCCATTCATCTGTTGATAGTCATTTAGGTTGTTTCATACCATGGCCATGGTAACTAACAATATGATGACCATTGGGGTACAGGTATCTCTTTGGGATAGTGATTTCATTTCCTTTGGCTAAATGCCCAGAAGAGGGATTGCTGTATCATGTAGTAGTTCTCTTCATGTCTGGTTCTCCAGCCACTTCTGATTATCAGTTCTTTTAAGGAGAAAAACTGTAGTGGTTGGAGGGTAAGAAGTGGGCAGGGATTCCTTGATCATGAAAGAAGGAATGGCTAACTTGATATGGTCCTTCCTTCTGGTTCCTAAAGCCTAAAAGTTGGAAGAGGGTTGGTAAGAGAGGTTTTCTGTAGTGCTACTCTCAGATCTCAAGAGGAAAGCAGATAGGAGGATATGGAGCCTCAGTGGGAAAGGTGTGTTCAAGAGTGCCTCCTGCCCACCTCCCCATTTCTGGAACTACCTGGCATCAGTGCAGCTAGAGGACAAAAGATAATGCACATTGTTGACTGCAACAGGAGAACGTATAACCCTCTGGCAAAGATAAAATTTTTTATGATGAGGGCTGTTCCTTGTTTATCCAGCCTCACTGAGAATTTTGGACTTAGCTGCTGGGGAATGCTTTGCTGTTTCTGTCTCATTCTGGGAAAAATTCCTCCAGAAAGGGTGGCCCTTCAACCCTCCTACATTGTTGTCTAGAATGTTACACCAAAGGAGTCTTCTGGAAGGCAAAATTCTGTCATTTCTGGTGAATAATAGCACTTGGTTGAGTTAGCCACTCGGTCTTTCATGTTGATAATGAGCTGTGTCTCCATGCAGAGACTGATGAAAGTTGCTAGTAGAATATGTTCTCCTGATAAACTGGCTGGACACTTCCTCCTTTGACACTTCCATGGCTCCCATGCCTTGTTAACTCCTAAAGAAAGCACATAACGGCAATAGCAGCATTAGGGATGTGGGAAATATTGGGTCCCAGGAAAGAAATTGGCCATGGCCTGTTCTCAGGCTTCTGTGCTCTGACACCAGGGTGCTGAACACAGTGATGTCCACTATGCAGAGCAATGGTGTATCAGGAATCATTAGGAATTCCAGTTTTGTGGGTGGGAATGTGATTGGAGTGTTATCCAAGTATTTCCATATTTTATCCAAGCATTTCTGTACTCTTCTGCTGATCATATTCTGCACATTGGTGGGAAGAGAAGTGTCACTTGGATCCTGTCGATGAACAGTACATGAAGCTCAGGACATTTGGATATTTGTGGGCATGTGCAGATGAGCCTGGATGTCTAGGAACCTCCTGTGTTAGGTCTCCAGGCTGGAGTATTAACCTCTCCTATCCCTCTTGCTGAAGGGGCACATATCTGCAGGCTGTAGCTGTCTCATTGCTTATTTAGCTGCTAGAATGTGTTGCTGCTTGGTGGTCTGACCCCAATGCCATTTTGATCTTCTCATGGGAGCGATGACATTCCCCCAAGGGGACTTTGCCTGAATTCTCAAGGTAAACAGTGTTGTAGACACTATGTGAGAGATTTATGCATCATGTGTGGGGCTACAGCTACTGGAAGGGTGAGAGGTTAAGGGAGGGTTGCATCTTGAGGAGAGAAGGGGCACTATGGTTTCCTCATTTCAGGCTTTTGATTTCTTTTGATTGGTGAACTCCGGGGTCAGCACAGGAGGGCCCAGCAGGTATATGAGGGCACTCTGAGAGTATAGGGAAAAGTTGATGGTAGGAAAGGTAAAGGACTTTGGTGTGAAAGTAGTGGTGGGCATTGTGGGTCCAGGGATGTGTCTCCTTGTCCCTCTCTCCATTCTCCCAACATCACCTTTGGGTCAACATAGCTGGGGGACAGAATATAACAATGGACAGTGTCAGAGATGACATGAGAAAATACGGCTCTCTTGTAAGGTTGAATATTTGTTACAGGGACAGGGTGTTATTTTCCATTTTCCAAGCGAATTGTGCCTTTGTCTACCAAAGGTAGACAAAAAGGTTTAATGTCTCATGCCTGCTCTGTTTCAATTTAGGCCTGGGAAAGTGGACACTGGGGGAAGGTAGCCCTTTACCTTGTTATATTGTTGCATAGTACAATAATCTGAGGGAGTTCTGAGAAGGAACTGCTGTTTCTTATGCTGATTTTATTCTCCAGAGACATATTCTTCCTCCTGTATCCTTATTGATTCTCCGGCATCACTCATGATGTTCATTTCCCTCTCTTTTTCAGGAGGGTCTAGCAGAGTTTCTGGTTTCAACTATTTAAGTTTTTCCCTCTTTACCTAGTTCTCAGGCGTCACATGCATTTTTGCTGCCAGCTTCTTTCCTTGTGGAAACAGTCCTGGGTTGTAAAACTGCCAGAAGGCTCATTTAGCTGTTAAAAAGGTGTGCGTACATTGCCAAGAGACAGAGGGATAATGTAACTTTTATTGCTTATCTTGTAGCCTGCTTATACTTTTACCCCTACCAGTGTCCTCTGGGGAAGTTCTCTTATGATCAATATGATCAATTGGAATGAGGGTTAAAACTACAAATCTTTTTTAAAAGATGATTTGAATTGATATGGTCTGTTGGCAAGTTTAGCTATCCTCTTCCTCTCATGTCTTGCCCAGAGGAGCAGAGGTTTGATCCTCTCCTACTGGAAGAGTTTTTGTCTCTATGTCTTGTGATATATAGGACCTGATTATAATAATATTTGATAAGAGGTGAGGAAACAGATCCTCTGTTAGGCGTATTTAGTATGCAGGCCACTCAAAAAGGGTGGAAGGAATGTGCAAAATGTGTGCACTCCTGTACAATTGGAATAATCTCCTCTAGATCCCTCTGGATTGGGGTTTGCCCTCCTTGTCCTTCTTGCTGATTCCAGAAGCACAATACATAAATTACTGATTGCTGCCAGCCAGGCCACCTCACAAGTTATACTTAGGTTGGCCTTCTGAGCTTCCCTTGCCTCTTCTTTTTTAAAATTTTAATTGTTTTAAAACAATTAAAATGGTTTTAAATTTTAAAACATAATTAATATTAAAACATAAATTAATAAAATTTAAAATATAAATTAATTAATTAATCTATTTAATTTTATTGATTATGCCATTACAGTTGTTCTATTCCCCCCTTCATTCCCCTCCACCCTGCACCCCCTTTAGTTTATGACCATGTGTCTCAAGTTCTTTAGATTCTATATTTCCCATACTATTCTTGCCCCTCTATCTATTTTCTACCTACTGTTTATGCTACTTATTTTCTGTACCTTCTCCCCCCTTCTCCTCCTCCCACTCCCCTGTTGCTAACCCTCCATGTGATCTTCATTTCTATGGTTCTGCTCCTGATCTAGCTGTCCTTTTAGTTTGATTTTGTTTTAGGTGTGGTTGTTAATAACTGTGAGTGTGCTGTCCTTTCACTGTTCATAGTTTTTATCTTTTTTCTTAGATCAGTCCATTTAACATTTCATATAATAAGGGTTTGGTGATGATGAACTTGAATTTGATCTTATCTGAGAAGCACTTTATCTGTCCTTCCATTCTAAATGAAAGTTTTGCTGGATAGAGTAATCTTGGTTGTAGGTCTTTGGATTTCATGACTTGGAATACCTCTTTCCAGCTCCTTCTTGCCTGTAAGGTCTCTTTTGAGAAATCAGCTGACAGTCTGATGGGAACTCCTTTGTATGTGACTGTCCCCTTATCTCTTGCTGCTTCTAGGATTCTCTCTTCCATTTTAATCTTGGCTAATGTAATTAAGATGTGCCTTGGTGTGTTCCTTCTTGGGTCCAACTTCTTTGGGACTCTCTGAGCTTCCTGGATTTCCTGGAAGTCTATTTCCTTTGCCAGATTGGGGAAATTCTCCTTTATTATTTGTTCAAATAAGTTTTCCACTGGTGGCTGTTCCTTTCCCCTTCTGGTACCCCTATAATTCGGATGTTGGAGCATTTAAAGATGTCCTGGGGGTTCCTAAGACTCTCCTCATTTTTTTGAATTCTTGTTTCTTCATATTTTCCTGTTTGGTCCTTTTTTCCTTCCTTCTGGTTCACTCCCTTGATTTGAGTCCCAGTTTCCTTTTAATCACTATTGGTTTTCTGTGCAATTCCCTCCATTTCAATTACTTTAGCTTTCATATGTTCCTCTAATTCGTGACTAAAATCAACCAGTTCTGTGAGCATCCTGATCACCAGTGTTTTGAACTGTACATCTGAAAGTTTTGCTATTTCTTTGTCGCTTAGAGTTCTGGGCTCTGGGGCTTTAAGATCTTCTTGAGCCATTTTTGGTCTGTTCCTGCCAAGTATGAGGAGCGGAGCCTTAGGGGCGGGGCAGGGCCACCAGGGTGAGGTTGCTGGGTTGTGACGCTATATTGTGGGGGCGGGGTCAGAGCGGGAAATGGTGGCCCCCTCTGCTGCCTCCTGCTGCTGGGGCCTGCTAGGTCCTGTCTCACTGCCCACTCCCTCGCCAGTCTATCTGCGCAGGAATGCAACACTACAGTCAACCCGCCGCCCCGCACCCTCACTGGGTCCACAGGTTGCTCACTGGCTCACTCACTGGGACCGCCCGTTGCAACCCCATGCCTGGGATCCACGCGCCTGAGTCCGTCTGGCCAAGTTTTCCTGTGCAACCCCGCTCTGCCAGCTGTTGGCTTCGCCCCTCTTACTGGTCAGGCTGAAGAATTCGTTGTTATCAGACTTCCAAAAAGTTCAATTTTCTGTGTTCTGGCTGTGTCTTCTGTTGCTAATATTTTGTTGTCTCTAAACTTGGCAGTGTGAGAAAGCACATAGTTTCCACCTATGCCTCCATCTTGGCGGAAGTCCTCCCTTGCCTCTTCTTATTCAAATGCAGCAGACCTACTGTACTGCTTATCAATTTCAGAAAAGTAGTGGTCTGTGTTCAGTAACTCCTAAGGAAATTCACTGATTTTCTTAATTTTCCTCATTAGTCAGACACAGCAGCCTTACAGAATGCTGGAAAAGGCCTATTGTAGATACCACTCAATATTATCTTGGAAAGTAGAGGTGCAGTCAGGGTGCTGAGCTACAATATGGTTAAAGCCAGGAACCAAGCACCTGTGCTTCCCCTCCAGAGCTCAGAATAGATGTATCACATCCTGAAAATTTTGCTAGAGTGCATATCTTATGTCATGTTTGTATTACAAAACAAGGTAACTATAATACTAATTCATGAGGGTGGAATGAAATTTGGAGGGGATGGATATATTTATGGCATAAATTATGGTGATGATTCACAGTTGTAAACTTATCTTCAAACTCATTATGTTGCATTTATTAAATATGTACAGCTTTTTGTATATAAGTCACAGCTTCACACCTCAATATAGTGGTTTGAAAATAATAAAAAAGATCCTCCCATAAGTGCAGATAAGTTCTCCGCCTCAAATATTTTTAGATCATAGAACTGAAGGGGAAGAGTGCTTCTACATGGGGAAATGGGAACTGTCATTTACTGCTTCTGTATTTTTGTTTTGCCTTCATATTTTTTCATTTATATGTAGCATCTGTATTAGCAGTGTATAAAGTTAACTTTTGGTGCATAACATTTTGAATTTCATAGAGTAACAGCTGTTCTACAGAAGCCACAAACTTCACCTGGCAGACTTCAACTCAGGGAGTGGCCCTTTGACATCAGCTACCTGTCACATGACAAGAAATTGACTTTGGGGTACTGTGATTGGGGGATTGGCTTGAACTTTGGGTTGTTTTCATTGCTTGTATGTGTTTTTGCGCTTACTCAAAACTTTAACAATATTTTATATTTGGTGATATGTCAGAATGCTTATTTATGTATGTACTGTATGTGTATTCTACAGAGTGGAAGGCAGAAGTATCAGGCTGATTGGTCTATTCAGTATGTACCTTTTCTCTGAGACTCTCCCACACCCCTCTGTTTACTGCGTGAATGAGTTCCTCCAGCCAAAACTATTCGGTTTTTTTCTTGTCATGTTATCTTAGTTGAGCCAATTATACTTTTATTATATTTAGAGTCAAGATGAGGCCCCAAGAATGAGTGTAGCCTGCAATGGATCATTAATATCCTTTTGCTGCAGAGAATACAGTTTTTAAAAAACTCTTTAAATAATTTTATTTTCTCCTTTATGTTATTAACAAGTAGCCCACTGCTAAGCAGTTTAGAAAACCAGAAGAAACAAAAATATTTTTATTTACACACATGTATAAAAATATATATACTCAGGTAAGCATTTATCTTTCCATTAAGTTGCCCAACTTTAAGAGTGCCAAAGGTAAATAAATCAAATATCTGTGTATTTAATTGAGAGGGCTAGCTCATTTTGTTAAAAATCATATTTAACAATTTTTGCTGACCAACATGTGCTAATGAAATTCAACTTAAAGTTATAGGCAGTTCATATGACAAAAAGCATTGTATGTGGCTACATAGGAGTATTCCTTAAACAGAATCTGCTTTGTGCTTAGGACCTTGCTGGGTTTACAGTTTCAACAGTAAGCAGCAATAAAGATCAAGAAAATTCCTAACTTGTCTAACAGCTGCTCTATAATGGCACGGGATGGGAGGGAAATCACCATTTTTTTAAACAGCAGAGTCAACTGGGAGTACATTGTACATCTACTCAGTGCTTGGATAAAAAGTGCTAAGACAGCAAGATACTTGGCTAATTACCTTTGATTTTTAAGAAACCCACAAAACACAAAATATGTACTTGTCCATGTAATAGATTTAATCCACAAATAACCTGAACTATCTTTCAAATAATGTAATTTTAAAAACCTACTGTTGGGTTCCCCTGAAGTATCTTCATATCAGTAGATCCCACTTGTAGATTTTTATAATTCACAGTGAACACTAGCATGATGAAGGAAGCTGTGGTTCTGCCATGTGCAACATTGGCAGAGTTCTGAGCTATAGCATCTGATGCATTAAGTAGAGGGGTTTGGTAGGGAGGAATGGGGTTTCCAAGCCATTACAGAAGTTCTCACCCTTTGTTAATCTCTCCCCTTTGTTTAGGGAAGCATTCTAAAGGTAGTAGGTGATTTCATATCTCCCTGAGAAGTGATCCTTTAAGCCACTTTCTGAAGGCCAGACATAGTTACACATTTGGGGATTGTAGAAGTGGTATGAGAAATCTCTTGATACTCCCAACATTAAGATAGAGGTGGGGTGACTTGCATGGTTGTACAGAAGATCAGACCAGAAGTCAGTAGGACCAAAATTAGAAGCAACAGGCACACACTGTGTTCCTAGTGAAGCATGCATTTGAAACTTGGTCCTTTATATCTGAGGCATCTTTCATAATACCACACCACTAAGTCTTATAAAAGATTTGTTATAGCAGAATCATATTTCATTAAGTGGGTAGAAGGATTTCTGGCATTGTTTGTTTTTTAAACATATCAATACAGTTTCCAGTTCTTATATAAAATTTCCAGTTAACTAAAATTACCTGTTTTCTCTACAGCTTACCATAGCATAAACACTTCAGAAAATAAAATCGTGGTCATTAATCTCACCCTATGGGAAAAGAAATCAATCTCACTCTATGGGGGAAAAAAGCAAGACTGTGGCAGCCCATTCTGCCTGTAGCTATCTTACTCTGGGTGGTTGGGCATGGGTCCCCCCCCTGGGATCTTGGGCTGCTGGTGTCAGCAACTCTGCTCTTGCATCCAGTCTAAAGGTACCCAAACTGCAATGTTTCATTTTCTGCCTGAGAAAGTTTATAGTTTTACCTCTGAATTTTTTAAAATATTTATTTATTTATTTTTAGGCAGAAGGCAAGGGAGGAAGAAAGGGAGAGAAACATCAATGTGTGCTTGCTTCTCATGTGCCCCCTACCAGGGACCTGGCCTGAAACCCAGGCATATATATGTCTTGAGTGGGAATCAAGCCAGTGACCCTTTGGTTCATAGGCTGGCACTCAATCCACTTAGCCACCAACCAGGGCTATAGTTTTACTTTATTTATTTATTTAAATAATTTTATCGTTGTGTAATTACATTTGTCTGTATTTTCTTCACACCCCTCCCGCACCCCCTCCAAACCTCCCTCCCTCCCTCCCTTGCTTCTACTCTCCCCCTTGGTTTTGTCCATGTATCCTTTAAAGTAGTTCCTTAGTTTTACTTTTGAAAATAAATAGACTCGCTTAGTATTTGTGAAGGCCTTATTCATTAAGACTTTTTCCCCCTTCCAAATTTACTCTTCCTCTGTCTTTCCCATCTCAATAAATGGCAATTTTTTCTTCCTTATTGGTCAAGCCAAACACCTTGATGTCCTCCTTAGCCCCTCTGTTGTTTTTTTTTTCATGCCTCATATTAACTCCATCAATAAATCCTTAGCCATCTATACTTTCAATATACAACCAGACTCTGACCACTTTTTTGCATCTCCACTTGTCCAAACCACCTTACCACTGTCCCGGATTATTCTAATAGTTTCTACTTCTTTCCTTGCTTTATATAGTTACTTCTTTCTTGTACATATCTTTCGTTAAACCTCTGTATGTTTCTGAGTAAAGAACTTGGAGTTACAATTGTTGGGTCATAAGGATGCTTATGTTTAGCTTTGGTAGATACAGCCAAACATGTCCCCCATTTGGTTGGACCTATGTGCACTCCTGCCAGCAGTGCAACTTCATAGTAAAGGGAAAGAAAGGACTTGCATGAGGAAGAAAACATGGCCACAATCCCATCCATTAATACATCAAATATATTAATTTTCCCTCCTTTTAATTTGGGAAATGCCTTCTTCATGCCACTGAAATGACACACTAGCATTTAGATCTGTATACATAAATCATGAGGCTTCAGTGGGATATGATGCTAATTACAAGTCCACAAGAGGGAGCAGACCAGAACTCGTGGGTAGGGTCACCTCCTGTGGGATGTGAGAGCCAAGGCTGCATTTCAGGGAGAGCAGAACCTAGGCCAACCACCTTGTGTCCTCTCTCCTTCCTCTTAGTTCTGTCTGCCCATGCATGATTTTATACAATGGACTTGCAGTGAGAATGAACATGCAAAAAGTCAGCTTTGACAGGGAGCAGGAATTCAGAAAACAGTAACAGGCAGCCGAGCAAATGTGTGTTGGAGTGAGCACAGACTCACATCTGCACCTTGCTGCCCTGAGGATGGCTTGTGGGCTGCTTGCATAAAGATAGGGTTCAGGGACTTCTGTTTGCCCTCTTGGAACATTCTGGGTCACTCTCCAGTTGCCAGTAATGTGGGGCTGTGGAGAGCACAAGGGCTATAAGCCATTGGTCCTTTGTGTTAGATCCATACAGCAAGTTAGTACTTTCCAGGTTAGCTTTGAGGAAAAAACTCATGCCTGGCCTTGCCTCATGCTCAGGAGGTCTATGGCTCATGAGTGTGTGTATCTATATATTTACCTACCCATCCATATCAATAGATAGATAGATAGATAGATAGATGATTGATAGATAGATAGATAGATAGATAGATAAATAGATAGATAGATGATAGATAGATGATAATGAGAGCTCTGCAAGAGACTTAGGTTCCCAGGTGTCAAGAGCACAAGAGTGGAAGTTCAAAGCCTCCATGACTAGGCTCGGAAATCCCACAATACCCCCTTCACCACATTTTATAGGTCAAAGCAAGTCACAAGGCAGCCAAAATTCAAGGAAGTGAAAACATGGACTCTACCTCTTAGTGGAAAGAGTGGAAAAGTCCCAGAGTAGAGGGCTTCATACCCAGGGATGGGGATGAAACTGTTGTCTTCTCTGCAATCCCTACCATAGTCTGTATATGGAAATATGAGCCAATACCTAGAGCAAGATCTCCTAAGCAGAATATGGACTAATAAAAGGACATGAGCTAATACATAGGAATAAAGAGTGTACATGAAATATGAACTTCCCCAAGGTGTATGAATCTCTTATAATCTACTGATGTCAACACAGGCTCAAAAACTGGGTATATGGAAACTATCTGTGGGTTTGTAAGGGGTTGGAATTTAAGCTCAGTGTTCCCTGTTGTGCCTTAAGAGAAATAAAAAAGAAAGGGAATCCTCTGTCTACCTGCAGGAAAGAAGAGAAAATAAACATGTAGTTGCAACTTGAATGTTGGGCAAAGTTCAGGTACAGGGTTAGTGTTTTAGACCACTGTGTGGGATCTACTAAACTTTGCTTTATGATGATAAATAAGGCATGGCTTGACACCATCTGGGTTAGAAGTGAGAATGTGATATGAGCTAGCATTTTCAGTAGGCTCTGTATATTGATTCCTGTGTTGGCCGCAATGTTAATTTAAAAAAGACACAACTCCCAGAGGGTTGGTCATCACAGTAATACTTTGTTTATTGACAATATCTTTCACTGGAGGCACTAAGAACACTTTGAAAATACACCACTGTGAGGTTGTCTATGCTGTTTTCCTTAATTTTATGAATTATTTTTTAAAAAAGAAAGTGATTTACATATTAAGACTCTCAAGATGTAGACTCAGAGTGGTCTTGGATATCTCCTAGTGCTATAACCTAACTTGTATCTTCCTCCCTCTCCACTCATATGTTGAAGCCCTAAACCTGACGTGATTGTATTTGGAGACGGCCTTTTGGAGATAATTAAGGTTGTTAGATAAGGTCATGGCAGTGGCATCCTAATCTGCACACATGGAGGAAAGGCCATGTGAGGACCCATGCAGAAGCCAGTCAGACATCTACAAGCCATGAAGAGAGCTCTTACCAGAAATTAAATTGTCTGGCATCTTGATCTTGGGCTTCCTAGCCTCCAGATCTATGAGAAATAAATTTTTGTTGTTTAAGCTGCCCAGTTTATAATATTTTGTTTTGGCAGCCACAGCTGACTAAAACACCTAATCTAGGGTTTTCCTAATTGTGATCTGGGAAACATTGGTGTGCCAGAACTGTTAGTAGGTATTAGTTCTAACACCTTTGAGAATGTCTCGTAACAACACCTATTGGCGATCTGAAACATACATTATAATACTAAAGACGACCAGTGCGCTAGTGTCAGGAGCACCTATTAACATTACATACTAGATTCTCTACTGCAGAATGCTTTGTAAGCGTCTGTAGATGTTTGTTGTTGTTTTATACAGGTTTCCAGGTCCTGACACTGCTCCACACATACTGAACCAGAATATCTAGGGATGAGGCATGGACATACTATATTTTCAAAGATCATAGGTAATTCTGATGAGTGGCCCTAATTATGACCCACTAAAGGCATGCAAGCTCTGTGGAGCTGAGGTTGGGAAAGACTAACCTAGGACAATCCTCTCATTTCACAGGGCAGGAAACTAATGTCCCAGTAGGGAAAATGGTCTACCCAAGTGGGAACACAGAGCAAATAATACTTTTTCCTCTGACATAAATGACCTCTAGATGGCAGCCTATCTCTTGATTTTCGTTTGTGCCTCCACAGGCCAGAAAAGTTGATTATGGGGTGAATTTGAACTGAAAATACAACAGTTTGGTCAAATGAGTGCTTGTCATGATATGGTGCTTTGGGTCAAGCAGCTCATGAGCTGCTTCTGTATTCCCCACAGTCCAGATTTCCAGCTTGGGAAGAAGAGAACTGAGGGAAGATGATGTTTAAATTGGGAAGAGAGAGGTCAGGGGGCAGCAATATCTTTCCTATAGAGCCTATTGTGATCAAGAAGGCAACTACTCTGCCCAGAGCACCATCTCCTGAGTCCTGGCTAATAGGCAGAGATATTTGTCAGGCTGAGACAATTGGTTTCCCCACACTACCCCACACTTGATATATTTTTTGAGAAGTAATACTTTAAAAATATATCTGATGAAGGGCCCTTGAGAGAGATGCCTTTTGAAATCCAGTCTTTTCAAGAACCTTTTATCTCATCCCTATGTAGATCCTAGAATATTTAGAGTTTCAGACACTTCCAGGACAATTCCAGGTCTTGTATCTACTACTAACTTCCGGAGTGACATTGGGCAGGTTACCTCTGCTACTCGGCCTCAATTTTACCATCTGATTTATATGCATTAAATTCTTTTAACAAATTAGTGACAATTTGAATGATGGCTAATGCTTGACTTCAGTGGCTCTAATCATTTATGTTGGGCAAGATATATCAATCATATCACACATACACACACACACACACACGAAAAGCACATGTGCCTTTCAAATCCCTGTCACAACACTTAGTTAAAGCTTCTCTTTTTTAGTGTCATTAGGGAAGAAGTCCAGAGTATAGCAAGCTTGAGACACACAGCTCCAGGTGCACTTCTTTGTGATTTCCTTGCAGCTGTCGTCTTCCACGATTTGGCTTAATTGTTAGACTCTTCATCATGTTGCTACAGGAATTCCTAGGGGTCGCACCCAGATCTAA